CCCGTGGTAATCAGACACTGGAGCCAGTACCGGGGCCGTTTTATGACACATTGGCACCGTAAGACGATGCTGATGCCGATGATGATACAGTGTGTTATTTACTTTTTATTTTATTATTTTTACTTATTTTGTTTTAGATATTTGAGGGGTATAAAGTATATTTAATTTTAGATATTTAAGTTCTATTTTAAGGATTTTTCTTTGTAGGCATGAATATGGGAAAGTGATTTATGTTTTATGAACTGAACTTGGATTTCCCTGATGCTCTCGATAATTATTTAGATTTTATGGTTAGTTTTTAGAACTTCCTCTAGATTGAACTGAATTATTTTGAGGTAAGGAAGTTGTAAATGGAGAGATAGGCATGCATAGCTTAAAAGGTATGAATGTGTAACTGGTTCTATTGATCTTAAGCTGCCTTTGAAAGGCAATTTGCTCTTTGACCTGATTGCCAGGGGGTGGCAACCCTAGAAATAAGGGAAGGGTTTTTATGATTTTTCTACAGCATAGAAGTTCTATCCTCTCTTTACCATCCAGCTGTCCAATTTTGATCAAGAGAGTCACCCACCGTTTGATTTTAGATCCAATGTCTCAAAGTATTTTATTTTTAGTTTTTTTTTTTTATACAAATTGTATGATTATGAAATTTGGTACGTGTCATCTTCTTATTGGGACGCACCTATAAAAAATATTAAAAGTAATTTTTCGATAAAATATAATGATAAAAAATACCCCTTGAAACTTTTAAATGTATTTTGGTCATTTTATTTCATTGAAAATATTTTTTTTATATTTTTCGCTAGTGCGAGTTTAATAGATGAATAGACGTCTAAATTTTGGTGTCAAAATAGTTTATAGAAAAAAATTTAAAAATAAAATAGTGTAGAAAATGTGGTTTCCATATTAAAAAATAAAAACTCTATTTTATATATTTTATAATCTATACTCGTTGCAGTTTGTACAGATCCCATATATACTTTTTGGATATAGATCCAAATCCAAATATTTTGGATCCAATTGGATCCGATCCGAATCCAAATCCCCTATATACTTTTTGAATCCAAATCCAAATCGCGATGGATCCAGACCCAATTCGGCCCCTCAGTCCTAGCGAGAGATATTTAAAGAGAAATATAACCTACCCTCTTATAATACGCATGGACGATACAGAGGCAGGGCATCCACCATCTGTTCTCAAAATGGACATTGGTGATGGAGCATGGGTCCTCGCAATCGTCTCCATCCTTGTTCGGAGGAGATCATGGATGCCCCGCCTGGGTATGCTTTTTTAGGGTCTGCCGTGCTATTATAAATGGGAGAGTACGTCCATAAGGGTCATAACCGTCCAATCAAGACGATGGATGGTTGGATAATGGTAATATATGGGGGAATATACTATGGGAAGTAATGATACTATTTACCTTTGGTACGAGGCTGTCCCAATTAATCTTAACCATTGAATGTAAAATTGGGTGGCTACATTTATTTCACTGATCAAGCTCAAAGTTCAAAAGAAATTTTCTCAAATTTTGTAACAAACCCAAGTTATTAGATTTCACGTTAGATAGTTGTATATAATTGTGACCTCCCAATTCAAAAGGTAAATGCTCTCATTTTATATAATCCCATATACTATTGATGCATGTCCTCTTTGAAGGAAAAAGTTTATATAGAGCCAATGCTCTAAACAATCAAATTATAGCCCACCTCAAAAATTTCACTCGAAGTGGTTGGTTTGGTGCCCAAATATCCTCAAATTGATCATCTCGACATCAAGATGCATGGACATGAGAAAAAAAAGATGGATTTCAAGTTTTGAAAATAATTCATCTTATAATGTATTTTTGGACAGTCAATTTTCAAGTTTTTCAAGTTTTCGTAAATCTGCTTGATCTAAAATATTTTTGAAACTTAAAATTTTATAATTAAAGATGAAAATATTTTAAGGCTATCACAAAGAATTCCAATATTGAAACCATATTTCTCGACACTATTTGAAGGTATACTTTACTTTGATTGTTTAGAGCCTCAGCTCTATACAAACCAAATTTTGACGGGTTCTAGAAAATATTGATTAAACCTACCAAATAATAAAGTTGGGCAAATTTTAAATAATATATTTTATTTCTGTAAAATATGGGAAAATTTTATAAAGAGTCGAGACTCTAAACAATTAAATTAGAGGCCACCTCAAAAATTTCACTTTGATACCCAAATATCCTCAAATTGATCATCTCGACATCAAGATGCATGAACATGATAAAAAAATAGATTTCAAGTTTTAGAAATAGTGTATCTTGTAATGCATTTTTTTACTATCAATTTTCAAGATTTTCAAATTTTCATAGATATGCTCGATCTACATTATTTTTTAAGCTTTAAAATTTATAATTAAAGATGAAAAAATATTTTAAAGCTATTACAAAGATTTCCAATATTGAAACCACATTTCTCGACACTATTTGAAAATGCACTTTACTTTGATTGTTCATTGCCTCGGCTCTATTCCTACATTTTCTTTACTTTTTGAAGATCTAGACCAACTAGTTTGACCTATCGTCTAACCAGTTTTGAGCTTCATATTACCCAATCAAGGGCTGAAAATAGATTCCCATGCCATCACAAGTGTTGTTATGCCAATAGTCCATTTTGGGGGGGGGGGGGGGGGGGGGGGTTTGAGCTGCAGCCTTACTACTTTCTGCAAAGCGATCACCCTCCAAAAACCGCACCCATACATAGACACACAAACAAGGAAAACAATGACAATCTAAAACCGATACAGTTTTTATGAGTGCGGGGATTCATATGTAGATATGCATCCCCTCTTCACAATCCATTCTTGAGATAGATTTTAGAGGCAACTTCTGTATAATCTCTGACATGAAAACCAGGAATGTGTAAAAACAAATAGATTTAAAAATCTAGAAATGATAATTTTTTTTAAGGAAATTTTAAACCGTTGATTTTAACCCTTTTTAGAGAATCGACAATTTCACACCCATATGAATTCGGATGCGTGATGCCTCGAGGGATGTGAATGTAGTTATGCATCCCCAGGCATATAAGCCACTTTTGCATCTAGGTCGCACGGGAAATATACAAGGATACACATGACTACCATAAAATGGTTTTAAACTTCATCATCGTCCAATCGATGGTTGTACTCTCTCCATCACCATCAATGGTTGTACTCTCTCCATCACCATCTTATGACAGTCATGGTCACGAATTTCATATATCTCAATATACTTTTCCATTGGAAAAGGGTTTAGGGGTTGGGGTCGTGGTGGTAACATCCCACGCCCACCACGTTGTGGTTTCTATTCTTATTTACATCACCCCACTAACACATTTAAAAAACTAACTCCCTTTAAAAAAACTAACTCCCAACTATAAAGGGGAAGGTTTATACGCAAAAGCTAACTCCTAACTATAAAGGGACATCACCACTAACACATTTAAAAACACTAACTCCCAACTATAAAGGGGAAGGTTTATACGCAAAAGCTAACTCTTAACTATAAAGGGACATCACCCCACTAACACATTTAAAATACTAACTCCCAATTATAAAAGGAAAGGTTTATATGCAAAAACTACCTCCTAACTATAAAAAGAAAAGTTTATATGCTTTCTTTTCATCATAGAAGTTTTATCCTCTCCTTACCATCCACATTTAAAAAAACTAACTCCTAACTATAAAGAGAAAGGTTTATATGCTTTCTCTACAACATAAAAGTTCACACATTTTAAAAAACTAACTCCTAACTCTAAAGGGAAATGTTTTTATGCATTCTCTATAACATAGAAGTTCTATCCTGTCCCTACTATCCAGCCGTCCAATTTTGATCAAGAGAGCCACTCACCGTTTCTCAAAGTATTTTATTTTTATTTATTTTTATACAAGTTGGATGAATATGAAATTTGATACATGTCATCTTCTCATTGGGGCGCACCTATAAAAAATATTTAAAATAATTTTTCAATAAATATACTGACCAAAATACCCTGTGAAACTTTTACAAATATTTTGATCATTTTATTTCATTGAAAATATTTGTTTATATTTTTCATTAGTGCGAGTTTAATAGAGGAATGGACGTCCAAAATTTAGCATCAAAATAACTTATAGAAAATAAAAATAAAAATAAAATAGTATAGAGATGTGACATTGTGATTGAGGCAATCTTAAACCTCCATTCAGAATGAACGGTTGGGTAAAAAAGAGAATAGATCTTCTATACTGCAGAGAAAACATAAAAAAAACTGTCTTCTAAAAAAACAGGTTGCGGCTTAGCTTCCCCACTACCACTAGCACCTTTAAAAAACTAAATTACCCACATTTACATACCAACTCCTGAACTTGCTGCTACCCACTAAATTACCCACATTTACATACTAACTCCTAAACTATTTAAAAAAACAGGTAGCGGCTTGTCTTCCCACTACATTACACGCATTTACTTTCCAAATGCCAAAACCCAAAACATCTTACCCTAGGCAACCAAGTCAAAATGTGTGGATAGAGTCTCACTCTTTCTCTCTCTCACATATATGCCTAAGACTTTAGTTTATCCCTAAAAAGAAAAAAAATTAGAGAAAAAAAGAAAAAGAAAGGATTGGATACTATGTCATCATTTATCTTCGTTACAATAGAGTCACAATTACTCGAGCCATTATATGTCAAATTTGATAGCTTGGGATGCCACAAAATTCAATTTTTAAAAAAAAAAAACTGAGCCTACTGAGTGACACTCTAATGGACAAAAGTGTTTGTGACCCCCCTTGAACCAAAAATAAATGATCTCTTCATACATTTTTCCCGAAAAAGATGACCTCCCCTGGTTGTAGAAGGCAGAGAACTTGGGCTGGGGCAAAATTAGTGCATTAAGCATATAAGTTAGCATTCAGAATCTTCCTCTTCACATATTGCACAACGTGCATCATTTCTAACGTGTGCCAACCACAAGTACACGTCAATTTTCCTTGTAAAACAAAAATAAAAAACAAAAACCCAACAACCACTTTTAATAATTAACGCGTGTTCTTAAATTACCAAAAAAAAAAACTGTAAAATTATGGTACAACAACCACTTTTAATAATTAACAAGTGTTCTTAAATTACCTAAAAAACAGTAAAATTATGAGAGGGGTGGTTTGGCCACCCATGTTTCTAGTAATCCATCGAAAGCAATCCATCATGGTCCCCATACTAGTGTGGCAGAACTAAAAGTATTGGGTGGATTGCCAAAAGATCAGCGTGGCCAAAGAAAACCTTGAAAGGACATCTTGGCGATTTTTTTTCATAAAAAGGGGGAAAGCCGACTCGGATGCATGCTCAAAGTGGAGTGAAGTGAGATGATTCATTAAGAAAAAGGCACCCAAAGACATGGTTGAAGAAATCCTGACCTTTGATGATTTCGCCACTGCCTAAAACCGATCTCGTATCGTATTTGCACGCTCTGCCACAGTCTGGGCAATAGGATACCTGCATTTCAAGAAAATCTCATGCATAAGAAAAAGATGATGTATACTTAGCTTTCGGATTGTGTATTACAAGCCTGTTGACCTTTAAGAACAAGGACACTCACCCTTGCAATCAATGTAAAATCCAGCAGCTACGGATGTGTTACATCTTTGCCCAAATTTCAAGAAAAAGCTAACTCAAACTTCAAGCGCAATCAATGTCACACCTCCAGTCACCCAATTTCACATCTAACGATTAGGAGTGACTCTAACCTTCTTGTACCAAAGGTAAGCAGCCTTACTATATGCTTTCCCTCAGTTTTCCTTGATAACAAATATGGAAATTAGGATATAGGTTCGGGATTGATTGGTTAATATCTTAACAATTGCAACACTAAGGAGTACGTACCCTTGTTCTGAACCACCCCAAAAAGAGAATAGAAGGATGGAAATTAAATAGCTAGAGAGAAATGATTAACTCAGAATCAACCCTTAGATCACACATGCAGAGATCTCATATGTAGGGGAATTTGCACTATAGAGAGATTCATAAACTTGCAGTCAGGTAAAATAAGAAAATGTGCAACATAGACTGATGAGAATCGCGGCAGAGAGAGAGAGAGATTGTCACCTCCAGTAATTTTGGATAATAGTTGCTGTCAAGCATGACATCCACACCATACATAGCCCTTGAAAAAGAGTTGTGCATTTCAGGATGCACCATTGCAGCCGACTCAAAGACAGCTCGAAGCATTTCTCGAACCCTCTGATGTATATCCAACCATCTTACTGCAGATCATGTGCACAAAAGAACATAGAAAATCAGTCACAAATAAATGAAACATAATGCAATGTCAATAAAACATAATGCAATCTATGAAATTCTTCATAAATGATCTTCATTTTCATTAAGAGAATGGGCTCTAGGCAGATGTGGTCAAAGTGGCAGATGTCACAACATGACTTCTAAAGTTCCATTCTCACCCCGTCCCATGTTGGCATTGCAACAAAAAAAAAAATCATTTTCTTGAATTCCCCAAAAACATCACAATATTTTCAATTTTTCCCACAGAATTTACCAAGAAAATAAGTACTTAAAAAATTCCACAAGATATTACCCTACCAAGAAATTTTGGAATACAAGATATGCGGCCTTGCCAATTCTAATTTGATACGAATAAAGACTATAAGACTAATGGAAGATTATATCACAGTTAGAGATGTACCATGGTGTTCCTTTTCAAACTCCATTACAAACTCTGGGGTGTTCATGTGATTCAGTCTTCTACCGTAATTCTGGAGAAGTGAAATGTTAAAACAGAGAAAAGGTAAACATGGTAAACAGCATAAATCAGAATAATACAATCCACAGGTCCCTTTAAGAAATTATCATAACTAACCAATCCCAGCAATTTGTTTTTCGTTTCTAGTGCCGTAAAATTATTGAATCATTATTTAATAAGCATCGTGATTGTCCCCCAATACAAAGTTTAAAGATAAAACTAGAAGGTGCACCCCGTTACTGCAGAAGTCCTGGGTTTACCATAGCATCATGAGATATCCCAACTTACCATGACAGTAAAATGAGTCTCATATTCGAAAAGGCTGCTTTTGTCCAAAGTATATGTGTTATTTGCCATTCTAACCTGCATATGTTGTAAATACATAAAATCATTAACGACACTGGTAAGCACTAAAGTAGAGTCATCATGAGAGGGAACTTTTATGGGAAAGTTCTTTTTTTTTTAATCATTAACGTTTAGGGGAAAGTTTTTAGCATACAAAGACTAGTTGCCATACTACGGTACAAAGATGAGGCATACACATTCCGTTCTCAATAACAGCCAGTTAAGATTAATTGTAGCCACAAAAAATACGGGTAGCATCCTCCCAATGTTGAGATTGGACTGCGGAAGCCAGGTCGTGCACCATATCCCATACAGAAGCCAGGTCGTGTACCATATACCATACAAAAACTGTGACGGCTTACTTCCCCAACTTTAGCATGAAAATATACTGTAATCCCAGCAATCAATGGTGAATGGTTCACTTTCCCAACTTTTAGTATGAAGTTTACTATAATCCCAGCTAGCCAACAGGAAAAAAAAGGTTTATTCAAATCCCATAGATTATGGAAAAGCATAGTCCATCAGGGTTGTACAATCCAATAAAACAATTGGTGCCGATAAAGATAGGGTGAACCCAAAAGAAAAGCACATGACCCCTGTGGACTGGTTTCCATTGTGCATTGGACTATAATATACTTCCCATAACGAAATGCATACCCAGAAAACATCAAAAAGCAGAATGTCCAGAGGTTGCACACTCCGCAACAAGACTATATATCTGAGATCAAACTTCTTCCCTTGAAATAAAGCAGGAGATTCAATATATTTCTGGCATATCTTTGGACCTGTCTCCATGAGTCTTATGATAGCAGGTAAATCACTGGTAATAGTTGTATCAATGGTTCGGGCCATATTCCAAGGTTTCAAAATCCAAAGATTGTTTAGGCCTTTCTCTTCCCTTATATGGTAGTCACCTATGAGTTCCGGCAATTGAGTTTCTAGATTGTAAGTAGGTTGCAACCATTCTGGTAGTCCTTGAGCCTGTAAAAATAAGGAATCAGAATTAGTTGCCATCCAATGCAAGTCAAAGGAAGCCAAGTAAGACTCATTCGAGTCATCCATAAAGTTGAAGAATCTAAAAAAAAATATAAAAAGAGAAGTGTTCATCATCATCATTATCCACGCCTTATCCAAACTACTTGGGGTCGGCTATCCAAAGGAAAAGTGTTCTTTTTAATATTAAAAATACCAAAAAGGAAAGTGTTGAGTAGCATAAAAGACAATGCAATATTGAGTAGAAAAGAAAATACCACAATCTAATTCACATATGAGTTCCCAAAATCAACTGACTCCCTTTTGCTGCTCTAAGGAAAATAGACTAGACAGTATGTAATGAAAATGTTGAAAAATCCAATGGACTACGAAAATTGACAGCCCAGCAGGTCGTCACAGTCCATTGAATTGATCATTGATGATGGAGAGAGAATGGTTCCAACACTGGGTCATGTCTCCCATCACCATTCTTCACTCAAATAAATGGTGACAACCGAATGGAATATGGTGTCACCATAGTCCATTATATTATTGTCTACATTCCCAGTAAAAAATTTCCCGGAACTGAAGGAACATTCAGCCCAATCATAGCTACACGTAAATATGAACAGCGATCCAGACCATGGATGAAATTCAAAAGAAGGCCAAAATTAGTTAATCTCTTTACAAACCTGATGAATGGTCTCTGCCAAATGATGTTTCATGACAAGACAAGCCTCATAAGGAAATTGGTTTACATATTGTTGATCTGTGAGGCCACAGGCGGCTTTCATTTCCTGATCCACTTGCACACTTGTCCATATTATATCAGCATCTTTTGGATCATTTGCTGCAAAGACATATAGAACAATGACGATATAGACAAGAATATAATAAGAACTAGAATGTTCGAAAGACAATGACAGACAAGAAGATCAAATGGCAGATAATCTCATGGATCAATCCCTGAGGATGATCATCACAAGATAAATTATTTCATCAAATGATGTCTTTATGTTAATAGCATGTATTGTAATAACTTATAATAAAAATTAGGAGGCATGGCTCAGTTAAAGGAATTTTGCAGCTAGCGCATGTGTTTTGCACAGTGCTTCTGCTGAGAAATTAAGTGGACCATAACTTTTAGAATTCTTTTAATCAGCTGAAAAATTCAATGAAAAGGAATATTTAGAATTGTTTAGGTCAAATGAAAAAATATAGTATTTTCATGTAGTTATGTAATCTTCTACCTCCGTATCTGTTAATTTTCACTTAGTCTCATGGTTAATTTCATTACTCACACACACATGCACGCATCAACACATGCACTGATGCACACACCCACACATGCACCGATGCACACACACACATAAATATAGACTTGCAGCTGAAAAGACTTAGAAAGAGGACAAGCACCATCATGTCCAACGTTTCTTGATGTGGTACAATCAATAACAAAAGTTGTCATCACAACAAAGCAAGAAGGTCACTGGAAAACAAGAAAAACCCATAAAATGCCTCCCTCCCTCTCACACACACCCCATGTGCACAGGCGTGCATATAGAAAAGGTAGTTCTGTCAGCACATTATTATATGAGAACTGGCACACTTACTTATAACAAATTCAGGACGTGTCAAAAACTCCTCTACTTGTGGTACATCCGTATAAACATGCAGAGAACGTTGATTGCTTGGAAGTATACTTGTTGTCAAAGAAGCCTTGATACCAGGATGGGAATATTTATTCGCATGTAATTGCTGACAGAATTTTTCATACTCCTGAAGGAGAGAGAAATAAAATATAATAAAGCACCAGATAGCCAGATTCATTCAATTCAAGTATGACCAGACAATTACCGAGATAGAATACTTTGTTGGGGTATGAAACCAGGCCGTAAGCCTTGCGGATCTTTGCTTATTCTCTCCAATACCAAACAAGAAATCACGAGTGCATTCTTCCCCCTTGTGCACATTCTGAGTTGGCCATAACACAGAAAAGCTGAAGCCATGTACTTGAAGTTAAACATACTTCCAAAGAACGCATGTCAAACCCCAAATAGGAAAGAAACACACAGCTGAAATAAAAACCATACTCAGCCTTCAGCAATATTAGCCCATTCGGAGCAGATTCAATAAGTGGAACATAAAGCCAAGTATGGGGCTTGCTTAGGCACAGAATTCTTCAACAGCTATCATGATTAATTTGCATGGGTTCTTAAGATGAATATTTTCATCTGTGGGAGGAAGCATAAGTGTCTATTGGAGTTCAAACTATTGGGAATTCCATGGGTTAAATCCATGTAACATTGTGGAAGTACAGGAACCAGCTTAGGCTTGAGTTGTTAACTGTTGATGTTAGCAATACTACATCTCAAGTTCGATTGCCACCACTGAAGAGTACCCCAAAAAAAAAAAGTGGAAGTATCCTGTTCTCCCAGTATGTCAGGCATGAAGCAGGGAGTCCTATCCCATTGGATCAGGGTTTTTCTGATTAGCTCATAAGAATAAAATTTCACCATGCTAATCATCCTCAAATTCAGGGTTTCTAATAGCCATATATGTATTTTATGCAATGATACAAAAGGGGAGAAAAAAAAAATAGTCAGCGTTTATTGTGGTTATATCTGGGCAGTATTGAATTTTTATGTGGTTGATTGAATCAGTATTCTTTGGCTGCGATTAGCCTTGCTTTAATTAATGAGGAATAGCACAAGTTCAGTAATTAATGGATTCGCCATATTTATACTCAATTGTTGATACAAGGCGACCTGAAATAAGAAGCTTCCTCAAATGGGGCTGCCAAGCTGAATTTTAAAGGTGCACCAAGAGGCCGCCCAAAGCCAGTGGGCTTTAGGCTGTGATTCTGAAAGCTCAAATGATACTCAGATGTTACATTGGGTTACTTGGATGTCACATTGCAACTATGGGCTTCAAGAGCTCAACATGGACCGGCATGAGTATGGCACTACGAGTGTGCATCTTGAAGATTTTTTATTTTTATTTTTTTTGAACAATTGGCCATCGAGGGAAACTCCCCCAGCGTTATTTAATGGGTTCCTCATATCCTTGGCAAGTAGAGTGTCATTGTAAATCGGTATTTGTTGTCAATTTCAAAATCATAGGTACTTTGCATTTACCAAGGGAAATGAACTCAAGGGAAAATAGGTTTAAGCCAATCTGGTGGGGATAATTTGTCACCTCAGTTTTGTTTTCCAAAAGTTCAGAAGCAATGGAGCTTAGATAAAGAACACACTCCAGATTACCCAATCAGGCAATGGAACCCATGATTGTTGTCAAGCACTATTTGAATTAGCTAATTAATCAATAAACAACAGGCTCCTGAGACATACAAGATTTTATACTTCAGTCCTTCTAAACAATAAACAAGAAAACAAGTAGGATAAAAATAAATTAAAATATCTACCTCACAGCAGATGCCAATGTCCCCTCTGGCATGAATAAAAATGGGGCTATCCTGAAGTTGGGTTCATCACTATGTCGCAAAGCAGAACCAAGTTCATCCATCATATACCTGTGATCATTCCAATAGATTAGCATCTTACTTCTAGAGGATTGAAGGACTAAAGGAAACCAGCACCGTATGTTTATAACGTGAACAAAACCAAGGTATCTTAATCTTTCAAATGTATTGTTGAGGAATAAAAATACGAGGTCAATATGCTCTAATACCATACCACCTATATTCTACCTTATTCCAAATGATATCTACTAATATCTACCGCCCATCCCAGCTGATAGGCAGTGGAGACACCAGGTTTGGGGCCCACAAGGAAATTCACCTAGGTACTATTAATCATGGGTATGAGAACAAACTGCTGATGCCCCTTCTGCACTGCTACTCCATTATAATACATGATACTTCATAAATGTGGAAATCATAACAATGGGAAAGAGTACCATTCACTCCAATCATACCTAAGATCCCATTCCTAGCTCATAAATAAGCATTTCGTCAATTTTATGTAAATATGCCGAAAGGGGTACCTCTGAACACGATTGCATTATGAATTACTCTCCTCATTCCATTATGGGTCAACTACAGAATAGCTTGAAGCGAACCCTGTTCTACTGTCAATAGTTCAAAGAGCGGCTCGGCAAAAAAACCAAACCCACAAAGCAGTGCCTAGCCCTTAGACCAAATCCATTCTCAATAACCCATCAATCATGGATGGATTTCAATGAGCAATTTGGATAATCGACTATCATGTTCGAATGTTTCAAGTCAAGAATGCCATTAGAAGAAAAGCTTCAAGCTAAAAACAGAAACATGAAAATGCGGGATAGCAACATACCACACAGGGGTTTCATCAATCTTCTCCTCATCAGCTAGTCTATATGTCATCACATAAAACCACATTGCACGAATAACACGATCTTCAAGAGGTTCCCCAGCATTCCACACAGGAAGACGTGGTGGAAGCTTTGAATCAACTATCTGCTTTTTGCTTTCCAAAATATTTAATGCATGGACACCATTTAGTTGGAAAAGACGTGGAAGAGATTCAAGGATATCAATCGCACTTCTTCCAAGTGGACCAGGAATTTCTATCTGCCAAAACAGAAGCAAAGCTCACATTTTTTTTATTTGGGAAGTCAAAATATTATTTAAGTGCAGGTATGAAGACAATGCTAGTTGAACATACCTCCAAAGATTGCAAACCTGTGAATCCCTTCAGCAAGTGCAACAAATCATCAACAGAGTTCTGATCTAGTGGATTCCCCCGAAGATTCAAGTGAGTAAGTGATGGCAATTCTTTAGGATTAAATGCCTGAATGAAGAACAACATCAGCTATTACAGGTAACTACTTCACATAGAACTCTCAGATGGAAGGTAATATAAAAGATATACTCCACTGAAACACTGAAATAAATAAAAGAAAATTTTCGTATAGAACCCTAATTCTTCGTATTATCTCATGATAGACCTTCCTATTTTTTTTTCAAGCGGCATAAGAAAACCCCTAAAGATTTCAGCATACTCCATCTCTTATCTCCCTCTTTTGTTTACTTTTTGATCATAAAAATTAGCCCCCAACAAATCTTTTTATACAATTTCAACCCAAAAACTTTTTTAATAGGTGGAAAGGGAAAAGGAGGGTTAAAAAAGTTTTTGGGATGAAACAGTATAAAAAGACTTGTTGGGGCTAATTTTTATATTCAAAAGTCAATAAAAGAGAGAGATAAGAGATGAGGGGCTATGGTGAAATCTTTAGGGGTTTTCTTATGCCGCTTGAAAGAAAAACGAAATGAAGGTCTACAATGAAATAATACGAAGAATTAGGGTTCTATACGAATTTTTTCCATAAATAAATTGGGTATTTTCTACCCAATGGCCTAGAGAGAGTAATTAGAAAAAAGCTAAAACAAGTTACTTCATAGAAATCAGCCCATAGATTATAACAGCATAAGATCGTAAACCAATAGGCAATACGCCTACATCCATTACAGAGAAACCATAAGAATAGTTGCTTCACCTTGTTACAGAGAGTATGGATGCATCTGTTTGAAAGGTCGAGAGCAATGACATCCTTCAATGGATGTGTCACATCATGTGAACTAGGATTATCCACTCCATAAATTCCTCCACAGAACCCAAGTGCCCACTTGCCATAATTACTTGTGAAATGAGAATTATATATTTCCAGTTCTGTGGCACCTTCCATTATTGCATCAGCAATGGAAGCACCACTGGTACCAAACAAATACTTCAGTAATCTAGTAAGAAATAAGATCCAAAGGCTCAAAATGCTTCACTTAGATAACAAAAGCATAATGTAGCAAGCAACATCACCATTCTTGGAGAACCGGATTTTCATTCAACCAAACAGCCCGTAGATTTCGACACTTTTTAATTTCCTCAATGACTATGTGTGAATTGTGGAGCTTGTTACCCCATAGATTAAGAGCAATCAGATTCTGATGAAAATTGAAGAAAACGGTGTTATGAGCATTACAATAATATACTAGTAATATTTTAACAGAAACATGAAGAACTACGTGAAACTGCTATTTTAATTATAATAAAGGATTAAGTGAAACTACTCCCAAACAAACATGATGACAACAGAAACACACAAGATATATGAAATCATGCACAATCATCTTAAGAAAGAAAAGTGTTTCCCAACACCTCCAATGGCTTAAATTGAACTCAGACACCTTGAGGACCAGTGTTCGCAAAATCGAACCGGAACGGTCAACCGGACATGGGGCTAGGAGCGGTTTGAACCGGAACTAGACTAACCAGGGCGGTTAACCAGACCAACTGGTCAAGCATATTTTTTTAAAAAAAATGGGTCCAAAACTCCCAAAAAAATAAAAAAAAAATAGAAATATTTAGATTAAGTGTATAATATCTTATTACAGATATTTATCTTACAAAATAAAAATTGAAACAACTTTTTATAAATTAATATTTGAATACTACGGTCCTGTACATGAAAATATCTTAGGATATTTTTTGAAGATATTTTTGTCATGTAACATATTCTTCCAATAATTAACATATTCATCCCAAATCTTACATTGAAAACTTTCTAGTTTTTTTTGTACAAAAATCACTCACATTAGGAATGAAAATTTATGCACTTTTTTGCAAATAACAAAAGTAGCTTGATGCTATTAAATCAAATAAAAATGCGAACTAATTAAGACAAGAAATGGAAAGGACCTCTTCCATATAGTTAGATAGAGCATAATTCATACAATGCTTTTTCGATGAAGTTAAATAAGGCATACTTCACAAAAAGTACATCTCATGATATGCAACAAAACGAAAAATCAATGCACTACATACTGATATGCTCTACTGTTCTTATATGTATCTACCATATCCATATCAATGTGTTGTGCATTGATTTTATCAAAAAATACGAACAGTAGAATAAATAATTTGATCAAAAAATAATGTTATTAAGCAAAATAGAAAAAAATTTCCCACATTTATCATAAAACATAATTTTATTAAAAAACAATAATTTTATCAAAAAATAATTTTACTAAGCAAAATGGAAAACCACTTCCCATAATCATCACAACAAATAATTTATTAAAAAACCATGATTTTATCAAAAAAATAACTTTCTTAAGCAAAATAGAAAAATAGTTCCCTTATTTATCAAAAATAATAATTTTTTACTAAAAAACATAAATTTATTCGAAAGATAATTTTATTAAGCAAGATAGAAAAAAAACTTCCCATATTGATAAAAAAACATAATTTTACTAAACAAAATGAATTTTTTTAGGAAAATCAATTTCTCAAAATGTGAGGAATGATTTGAAA